TAGCATTTTCTATTTTTTAAATTTGAGTTTGCGTATCTTTGTTCAACTTTCTAAGGGATATTTATATTTGAGCTAACAATGATTGAAAGACTTTTGAGTCTCATCTCAACATTTAATAACTTGCACTCGTATCAATGCATAATTAGTGTTATCCCATCAAATTCTCTCAAGATTGATTCGCTTGGGCTATCAGACCTATGCTCAAGACACGCCGAGCCTTTATGACCTTATCCTCAGTCATTAAATATCGATGTTCGATGCTTGACACCTACACTCGAGGGTTCACTGCTCGAGCATAAGCATCCCTCGGGTTTCACCGAGGACATGGAGTTGGTGTCACGGTAATTAATGTCTTATAATGATGACTGTCCTCACACTTCTCGAAGACCTGAATGCGTGTTTAATGACTTGCAGCCACTCAAAACCCTAAGTAATGAAGTGTCATATCTCCTTTAATGCTAGGCCTTGATGAGTGTACTCAACTTTCCAGAGGTTTTAACTCTTCGGTGCCTCCTTCAGGTGCCTTTGCGTTTTATAATAACTATAATTATTCACGTGTCAGCCTAACACTGTTGAGCCGTCTAAAGTTCCGTCAGGCATGGTCATAGACAACACACAAGTGATAAACCATAATGAGTAGATGCACCATTTATAGAAGAAAGTTGTGGATGAAAATGATGTGTTGATGATCAAGAGAAAGAAATTAGGATTAGTAGGAGGACCACTAAAAAGGGCCTAAGTTTTATCTGTAGTGAAGATGTGCATCAGCCTGTTGCTTTTTGCAGTTAAAGGGAATTATCCTCGTGTTAAAAAAGGGTTTTAGTAGTTTAAATTTGTACCAACAAACAGAACCTTCAGTGGGTATCGATCGAGCAAGTGATTATCGATCGAGCAAGTGATTATATTAAAGATAATATAGATTATTATTGAAGATAATTACTCTCTATTTTAATTAATCTAATAGAAAATATTCCTGACATGTAATGCATATTAATTGTGGAATCTGATAAATTGTGACGTGTTTGGTTACATCATTGTTGGAGGATGATCAAAAAGTTAAAGTCCTACCACTTTACTGGACTCAGCCGGATGAATTCATACAGAAAGATGATCACCCAAGAGAGAGAGAGAGAGAGAGTGTGTCTTGAAATACCAGTACTATGAGTCTCAATTCTATGTTCTTTGTATTAAGTTATTAACTGCTAGAATAAACCTCTAGACATGAAGAATCACACTCCCAAAATCCGAGTATTCAATATATAAAGTTTTCTTGTAAGAATTGAATTTGAGATCTCAATAGAAAGAAATCGTGTCACATAAGCGAGTTCTTGTAAAGTTTTAGCGGGTTTATGTCAAAAAATATTTCATCTATACCCGATTTATTTATTAATTTGTATTTAACCAATCGTGTCATATATAAATCATGTAAAACTAGTATATAAACTAGTCATGTCGTAATTTTTTTTTTATTGATTTTACTCATACCTGATTCGTTTATTAATCGTGTCGTGTAAGATTCACTTGTTTACTATGAGTGGTTCAAGGAACACTCAAACTCTCTAATTTTATGTTGTGTTAATGAATCGTATCACCTTTTAACGCCCTTAAAATAAGGTATATATCAATAAGTAATGTGTGTGTGACCAAAAGGAAGCTGACCATTCAAATTCTGCTTGATATCTGCCTTGGATTTGCTCAGGTTTAGTGATTTATGCATATCAAAGTGAATCCATCCATTAGTTTTGCTAGTTAGCTAAGCCTAATCAATGTTAAAGGAAGATAGTTTTAAGCTTTGATATAAAGGATTTCAGTTACATCAATTTTAAAATGACCTCATCTTAAACTACCTTAATTAACAATCATGCTTCAGATTATTATCATTACTTTTTCCATTCAGATTTTGATAAAGTTTCAATATAAAATTGCCTTCAGTGATGAACTACTTGTCACGACTCTCTCTCTCTCTCTCTCTCTCTCTCTCTCTCTCTCTGCAATAAGTTCCATCTTTTTCAACAGATCCTACTCCAACACTATAATGATCCACTTAATCAAAACAGAGACATGAGTAAATTTTTCTTTCCGCGTTAGATTTGTTCAACTTTAAATTATTGATCATACAGTTAAAAATCGAGAATACATTTAAACAAAAGTAAAACGGTATAAATTTTTACCAAACTCAATTAATAGTGAAAATTCGAATACAATTATCGGATCAGTGAGGATACTTGAATATCAATGACCTATTTTGATCAATTCAATAAGATGGGAGTATCGATCTCCACAGAAGAGCATGAGGTAGGATCCATTGACTATCATAGACTCCATGCCCCATCAGATAATGCTCTCTCTCTCTCTCTACTATGACAAACCAAGATATCTACCACCAGTTCCCACTTATCGGGAGTGGAAATAACAGAAATAGGTCTTTTCCGTATCCACTACAGTACATGTACGGTTCTTCAAACACACAAATACATACAACAACTATATATATATATCAATTATATATTTCAAATAATTAAAACAAAAAATTGGAAAACCCTCTAAGATGAAACTATCAACTTATTTATTAAAAGGAGAACTACCTTAACTATACTTTGTTTAGATCCATAATTATTATGTAAATTCAAAATATCCACAATCACACGTAATTCGATAAATTCAGAATATTCGTAATCACCTGCAAGAAATTCGGATCAAGTCAATCAAGGTGTTTTTTACTAGAATAGAGTTTTAGATTTTTGAGATGTTTAGTAATTGAAATGGGCAATATTATTTGGAGTTAATTTATTAATTTAATTTGTGGATCTAATTTTTTTTATTTTTTATTTTTGTTAAACTAATTTATTATAATTTTTAGATTGACTTTAGACCTTATTAAATATTAAAATTTAATACTAGCTGAAAATCTCAGTTTTTTTTTTGTTTCAAAAAAAAAGAAGTCTGGTCTATTTGACTTCGGATTTATTGGACACCTTTTTCATCAATTTTTTTGGTCAAAAATAACTTTTATTAGCATTAATGAAAAGTTAAAAAATATGAATTATTCAAAAATTTTCAAGAAAAAATTAATTTTTTCAAAAACACTTCAAATCATTCTAATAACTTTTCAAAATTTTTTATTTGTACCCAAAAAAATTAACTCGAAAGGGACCTTTTCCCAAAAAATAATGGTATATAGATTTAAAAAGTAGACTTAATAATCTCAATCATTAATTTTACTGTGGGTTTCAGCATTTATTAAAACCCACTATCTATTCAATAATTAATATTATTAAGTCTAATTTTTATGTCTATTTAACGTTTCTCTTCCCGAAAATGGAAGCTACACAGCAAACCCACCTGCACCGGTGCAAATTCTTAAAAGGCTAATCCACAGTCTAAAGCGCCCGGTTTTATCAACTTGCAAGTGGGCCCTCAGTAGACCGAGGACTCCTCCGTACAGAATCACTCAATTTATTTTCCTTCATGCTCCATTATAGGACAAAACAAAAGAGGGTTCTTCTCCATTGTACGCATTAGATGTATAACTAAATTGTGTTTTTGACCAATCTCAACCTTGAATCAATTTTCAGGAGGAGCATCGAATCAATAATCACACGGTATTCTACAGATCGAATATGTCAAAGTCGTAAAAAGCGTGTAATTTTTTAAAATTTATCATACTGATTAATCTGTATTACCTAACTTCCGTGTAACTTTTTAATTATGTTAAGAAATTATGATTCTAGCTATGATTAATAGTGTGACACCAACCAAAAAACAAGTTGTGCATAGTCTATGAGGTTGATTTAAGTTCATGGTAAATCCAAAAAGAAAAGAATAAAAAAAGAAAGGAAATTCCCACTTGGAAGATGAAAACAATGTCCTCCCCACTTGGAAGGAAATATATTGTCAATGTTGGCGGAGGAATTATGCAGTGATGGATTTTTTTTTTTTTTTTTTTGGAGAGATATTAAGGTGAACCTAGCCAATAAGACAAACAAAAGATAGGGGAGTCCAATAAAATCATGCCAGGTAAGACTTATGGGAACTTCTTGTTGGATCATCCTTGTCCTAAAGTCTATCCGTCCCTCATTTACATTGGCCCATGACCCCCCATCCTTGTGGAAGTACATTATACCCCCACCCCCACCCCCACCCCCACTCCTCCCACTTTCACTTTTTTTTGCTATTTAAAACTCAAAATATGAATTATGAAATTTGGTGCGGTGCAATACTCGTAGAGTTTAAAAGAGTGAAATATGTATATGTTTTTAGGTGTATTGAAAAAAAAAGTCGTGATTTGAACAAGTGATACAATCGAGTAGAATTCATGTCTCACAAATTATAATGAAATAATTTTATTATTTCCAAGAACTGTACTGTGTGTGGATATTTATTTTCTTTTTATCCGGTCTAGTACTGATCCTGATCCTGATGCTTCATCAAAATCTTATGTATTATTTGTTGCTGCTTTTCAGAGACAAATTGTTTTTCAGATAAACATGGGGGAGAGGAGAGAGAAAGCAAGGCCATTCTGATGGTCAGCAGTAGCAGAAGCAAAGCTCAGGGGGGGATGAACTTACTAAAACACGGTCCATAGTCATGTGAACCCCATCCACTTGCTATTGATGCCCTACCCCACCTCACATACACAGCCCACAACACATACATACTACTACTATTTGGACTATAGCCCCCCAATCCCCTCTCAAAATATATATATATATATAGAGAGAGAGAGAGAGAGATATTATGTAGATATACAACCATCCATGAATCTTCCTTGTTCCCTACCATCTCTTTGGGTTGACCCACCTTACCCACATCTCCATATCTCCATTCACCAAAACTACACAACTTGTAATATATAAAAAGTAATATATCAACACACCACACCAAAACTTGGGCAGCGCCTATATATATCCTACCTTCTAACAGAATACACATCTATCTCTATCTCTTGCACTCTCTTGAATCCCTCTCTCTCTCTCTCTCTCTGTAAACAAACAACAGAAATGGACCAAAGTTGCGTAGATGAGAGCACAACAAGTGACTCTATATCAATTGCTCCGACCTCGGCATCGAATTTACCGGTGATAAAGTCGTCGGAAAGTCTCTGCCGAGTCGGAAGTGGCTCGAGTGTGGTGTTTGATTATGAGGGTGGTGTGGAGGCCGAATCTCGAAAGCTCCCATCATCGAGATTCAAAGGTGTAGTCCCTCAGCCTAATGGCCGATGGGGTGCTCAAATCTATGAAAAGCACCAAAGAGTTTGGTTGGGTACTTTCAATGAAGAAGATGAAGCAGCTAGGGCTTATGATATTGCTGCTCAACGCTTTCGCGGCCGTGACGCTGTTACAAATTTCAAACCGTTATCTGAGACTGAAACTGATGACACTACAACAGCCTTTTTGAATTCTCATTCGAAAGCTGAAATAGTTGATATGCTTCGAAAACACACATACAATGATGAGCTCGAGCAAAGCAGAAGAAACTATAGCTTCAATGGCAATGGGAGAGGACTTGTAAAAATGGCTTCATCAGCTCAACCGGGTCAGACCGGGGTCTGAGAGCTCGTGAACCGCTCTTCGAAAAGGCGGTGACGCCAAGCGACGTTGGTAAGCTGAACCGGCTCGTTATACCGAAGCAACATGCAGAAAAGCACTTCCCTTTACAAAGTGGAAACACTTCAAAAGGGGTTTTGTTGAATTTTGAAGATATTGGGGGAAAGTGTGGCGTTTTCGATACTCATACTGGAATAGTAGTCAGAGTTATGTTCTAACAAAAGGGTGGAGTAGATTTGTGAAGGAGAAGAACTTGAAGGCCGGTGACATTGTGAGCTTCCAGAGATCGACCGGGCCGGATAAGCAGCTTTTCATCGACTGGAAGGCGAGGACCGGGCCGCCAGTGGTCGGGGGGATGTTGACCCCGGTTCAGCCGGTTCAGATGGTTAGACTCTTCGGAGTGAACATATTTAAGGTACCAGGAAGTGGTGGGGTTGATGGTAATGGTAGTTGTGGTGGGGGTAAGAGGATGAGAGAGATGGAGTCATTACCTTTAGAGTGTATTAAGAAGCAAAGGGTTATTGATGCTTTGTAACATTTTGTTTCTGTTTTTTTGCTTTTTGTTTCTGTTTTTGTTTTGGAGTTTTGTGGAGGATCAGAAGGGGAAAGGGGTGGGAAGGTGAAGGAGGTGGTGGTGCAAGTTGCAAAGTTCAATTGTATATTATTAGGCTTAAAGGGCCGAAGAGAGCTAAACTTAGGTGGAACAAATGGAATAGAAAAAAAATGTCATTTTGTTGTGTTCAAAGATATGAGCTTTCTTAGATCTTTTTTTTAGTACTGAATTGGTTGTTTGCTATGTTCGGCAGTGTTGTTGCTTTCCCCAAATATCTCCATGTTGACATACTAAGCCACATATGAGAGAGAGAGAGAGAGAGTTTTCTTGGTATTTAAACTTGTGTCGACTAATTTTTTTAAGTTCAAGAATTGGTCACTGTGACTTAAGTTGGATTAAAGTATAGCCTTTTAGGGATAAGGGTGGCTAACCCTTATGAGATAAGAAGGAATTGAATGACACTTACCAAAAATTTGGCTCAACCGTTAAACCATCTCTAAAGATTGAGGGAGAGAGAGAGTGTGTGTGTCTTATTATACAAACAGGTAGGTCAATTGGGCACAATAGGCAATTTTCTAACAAGGAGCAGGCCATTGGGACTTTAGGTAATTGTTTAATGCAAAAGAGAAAGTTTGGCCTTATGAAGTGGAAGACTATGCTTTGCTGCTTTTTTTCCCTACTAGAATTTCCTTAAGACTTTTGAATAACGTGTGTGGTATTATTCTAATATAAAGAGCACTTGCATAGGATGAAGGAGTAAAGCTATCAAGGATCATGTTCTAGATCTAGGATTACTTGATATAATATGTTTAGGAATTGGCCTACAAATAATATTTAAGAATCAAAAGAAGATTCAACAGATGCACCAGGTTTAATGGTTGAACAAGGAAGGACACCCACTGAGTTCAAATCCGGTTAGTTGCATAAAATTTGGGTTTAACCGATACAGATAATTTATAGATTATTATGTATATTTGAAATTTGCGTTGCGATCATTAACCCGAAAAAGCAATGATTCTCTATTATCTTAACAGCACAATTGCAGCTACAAAGTTGACAGAATAAGGTCATCTTTTATGATACATCAAGCTGTCAATACCTGTTCGGCTATTTTTTGATATAGCCTTCAATTTTTGTTACTTTTGAACATATTTTCTTTTGCTATAGTTGGACATGTACTTTATCCATGTTTTTTTTTTTTTTTAAGAATTCTTAATGATAAAAATGACAAGTAGATACAGCCCACATGAATTGATATTTTTTTTGTTTTTTTGAAAAAAAGAAACAACCCAATGCATTGAAATGTTCTATAATCCTATTGGATCCAAGTCTTTTCCAATATATCAAACCAGAGAACTTTGACCCACCCAATTTATCAACACAATTTATTAACCAAATCACTATTATCATTAGATTGGTAATAGGCCTCAATACTTTTTTTTTTTTTTGCCTCAATACTGGGTAAGATTTATTGTCCATCGAACAATATCAAGACTTCGGGTCATCAAATTATGTTGATAAATTGAATCAAAGTAACACTGCATCATGGAATTCAATGAAAGCATTGAAGCCCTTGCTTTGGTGGAGCCAAAATGGTATGGGGACTCCTTCACGTGGTCTAACAAAGAGTTCGACCAAAGAAAAAAATGTCACCCGCCTTTTGGCTAAAGAATCTCTCATTGAATTCACTAGCTATCGATCTTTTGTGACTGATCTTAGGACTATCCCGCTCCCCTCCTTCAAGTCCAGACTCCTCGCCATCCAAACAAAAAAAATATTAAAACTTTTATTTCATATATATGATTTTGGGCTGCAAATTGTACTATTCGAATTGACTTGGCAAAAAATCACAACCCAATTTAAATTTTGGACAGGCTCGGATTTGGGTCTTGGATTTTCACGACCCAACCTAAAATAGTGAAATTTCAACTAGATTTGTGTAGTTTAGGATCAAACCTGATTTGGATCCAAAACTCAATACAAGTTGTATAAGCAATTTCAAAATTTGAAGCGTGGACTATTTTGGTTGTCTGGTTAATTTTAACCCATTATTTTTTTAAAAATGTTGACAAAAATCGTGTATACTATTGTGTATGTATAATCTCTGAAATAAAAATTTGTATATTAAATAATTAAACATGTGATTGAATGATTTTATAAGAAAAATATATATATGGAATAAAATTTTAAATACCTAACTGTTTTATTATATAAATATTTCATACACTATCAGTGACAAGTGACCTCAACTCTCAGATAAGAACCCTATACTGGTTTTAATGGGCTCAATTTTTATAGATAGATCAGCCCACAACCTTACCTGACCCAACCCATTTTCTACCAAAATCTTCATTATCATCTCTAGCTTTAGACCAATAAAGGAAGGGTAAAGTTGATGGATGACCTACCAAAGGAAGAAAACGGAAAAAGCAAGTCATTCTGTTTATTGAAAAAAGAACTCTATAATAATTTCGTAAAAAAGAAATGTTGCCCTCTTACTTCAAGTGACCAGAACCACCCCATCTCCACATTTAGTGTCCAAGAATGGCTCTTGGTCCTTCTGGGTGTTCATAGTGTTTTTGACATACTCATCTCCTTCCATGGGGAAATTAAACCATGCATTTGACGTTTGGCTTAGATTTAACTTGTTTAAGTTCGTTCATATTAACAAATAGATTGAATATTATTAAATTTTTTAGTTCATTTAATATTCATGTAGAGCCCAAGCAATGTGCCACTTGGGTCTATGAACTTGAGCTCGATTTGTCTATTAGATAGCCTATTTTGTTCTCAAATAATAACTAAATTGCCCTCCAAAGCATCTAACTTTTGATAAAAATATTGTGGGCTCCCATCCCACTTGCACTATTAGAGTGAGTCGAGTTTAGCCGAACTTGAGTATATAATGGTATAGAGACAAGCCAAAAATTGATTTATAATCCAAGTTGAGCAAACATGCTGGAGCCTCTATAATTTGAGTCGAGTTTGAACATAGTAGAAATCAAAAGGCTCCACTCATCTTCCCACCACCTTCAAGTGATCACAACCACCCCATCGCTCATCTACCTCTTTTGCAAATTTCACATTTTTATTGAGTGAATTCTTCATGATCTTGTTTCAAAATTTTCTCTACCTCTCTCTCCAATTTCTTCCTCTTCTTAATCTTCCTCTTCTTCTTCCAATTATTCCTCTTCTAAAAGATTCACCTTTAAATTTGATTAGAATTCGATGATTCATGACTTTTGAAATCAACATTAAACTTGAATTGAAAATCACTCTCAATAAATTTTTTGGCGTACCTACTCAACCTTTGTCAAATGCTTTAATGGAATTCAATAAATCTTGAACACCCAAAAGAAGAAATATGTTTGATTTCTTCAATGACGAAAACAATAAAATCAAATTTTTCGATAAACTAATTAAAATTTTCTCAAAAATTCTTGAATCTGAAATTTAATCTTCACAAATTTTCATTTGATTTACAACCTCCATAAGTCTAGAAAAGTAATTTTTTAAAGATTCGTTCTCTTTTATTCTACTATTCTCAAAATCTTTTTTCAAAGATTATAGTTTTACGGCTTTTACCTGCGTAATACTGTCATACTCATCTTATAAAGTGTCTTATGCTACCTTTAACTTTGTTGCATTGATAAATCTTAAAAAAATGATATTCGTTCCTCCTTATTGAGTCAAATGAAGAGTTTTTGCATCATTTTTCTTGGTTTTCTTTAATTGATTAATTCTTTTGAGGTGTTGTCATTTCTTCGTATGGATCTTCTTATTCATTTTCAATCAAATCCCAAAGATGATAAGAAAGAAATGTATTTTTCATCTTCACACACTAATAATCATAATTTTCACTTTCAAAGAAGAAAAAAAACGATTGTTGTGCACCGGTTGACATGTTGATTTCACTTGCCATTTTGATCTTCTTCACTAGGACTTTATTTATCCAATGAGAAGTTTCACACCCAACTGGTTAGTGTTGAATTAGTTCTGATACCACTTATTTTGACTATAATTTCAGTCTTTGTATATTTATAATAGAGAAAAAACAAAGAAAATGCAAACTAATTTATAGGAATAATTTTTTCATACTTTTAATTCATAATTTTTAGCATACATATAGGGGACAAGATGTATCTTGACCTCTCACTCTTCTAAAATAGTAGCCACACTACAAGTCTCAAGATTTATCCATTTGTATTCCCTAGTAGATAAAATTAACAACTCAGCATTATCTTTTATACTATTTTTAACAAAGATGAGGGGGTCTACCCTTGAAGGAACTGAGGAAATGGAATAAAGCCCTAATAGTATATTTTCAGTGATGTTGAATACCTTTGGACCAAATGGAAGCTTCTAGGAATTGAAAATGTCCCAAACTTGCTCTTGGAATTGGATGAAATGGATGAGAATGAGGGAATTCGACAGGCCACTATTCCAGTATACTATAGGTAATGGTGAGTCAACCTACTTATGGTATGATAAATGGCACCCCAGTGGACCACTTAGCATGAAGCTTCAAAGCAATGTTATTGAGAACTCTGGTCTTCCATACTAAAGTTGTGAGTATCATTGCAGGAAATCAATTGTGTTGCCTTATTCGGTGACAACGGAGTAGTATGATATCCTAACATCCATGCCTACTTACTCCCCTAACAGCCTGCAACCTGATACGATTCGATGGTTACCATCTGCAAATGGATTGTATACAACAATATCTGTTTGGCCATGCCTTTGCAACCTAGCCATCAAGGTACTCTGAAACAGACTAATCTGGTTTCCAGAATCAGTGCCCAGGATGGCTCGCAGTTTTGGAGAAGTTGAAAACCAAAGACAGCTGAAGAATTTCTTGCCTTGGTTATATACATAATGTTTCTTCTGTAGAAGAGAGGAAGAATATATGCGCATCATCTTTTCTTTAATTGTTCATTTACAGTAGGAGTTTGGAATGAAATACAACATAAATATGGGTTGAATTGGCATCTTTGTCTATGGAATCAGCTAATATATCTAAGGCAGCTAGGGAATGGAAGGGCAACTCCTTAAGGTGCATACTTTGTAAACTTAGTTTAGCAGTTACAGTTTATGTTATATGGGAGGAAAGAAACAACAGGAGATTTAAGAATGAATACAGGGATATATGTTCGAACAATGCTAAGGAAGATCACAAATATGGTGAGATTCAAGCTCTAAACCATCAAGATTAAGGACATTTCAAATAATAGAGGCATCCACCAAGCATGGCAACTACTTTCCCTGGGAATGCAACAGGAAGATTAGTGATCTACTGGAGTACCATGATCATAATGCACTCCAGTGAGACTATCCTGTCTAAATGCTTCTATTTTTATATTTCCTAGACACATCATTGTAAAATGGTTACTTAGGAGTCTAGTGAATCTATGCTCTTCTAGAACATTGTGCAATTTCTCTATTTTTTAAATAAGGAAACTGAGACCCTATTTGATTCGTGTTTCAAAAAATAGTATTCGATAATTATTTTTGAAAAGAATTTTAGAAAAGTGTATTTTGATATTTTTTGTATCGCATAACTTGTTTGATTATATAATTCTAAAAATATTTTTATATAATAGAAAATAGTAAAACTTGCTTGGACAATAAACCAGAAAATTATGAAAACAAAAATATGGTGGCTGTGTACGTCGACGTCGTCGTAGTGCTGGGAGTGTGGTGGTGGTGATATTTTCTAAATTCTAAAAAACTTGTTCTCTAAATCTATCCACCTATTTTGTTCTTAGTTTTCAAAAAAAAAAAAATAACTGATCAAACAATTTTTTTTCCTAAAAATTATTTTCGAAAACAGAAAAACAATTTCTAAAATACAAACCAAACAAGATCTCATATTTTCGAATTTTGTCATTTCGACATGAATCACCTTGTATTTTGCACACTTGCGCAAAGTCATCAATACATTTTATTCATTTGCCCCCAAATAAATATATCCAGAGTTTAATTTGTGGAGTTTAGTCCAATATTATTCTAACTTGAAAAGGTTTTCCCTTCATTAAAAAACGTATTGCTTAGTTTTTAGCACCTGTACTATCATTAGAAAATTTGTTTGATAAGCAATTAGTTTGTGAACTAATTGTAGCATCAATACTATTATTATGAGCATTGTCAATATCCCTTTTACTAACATCTGCTATCTGCAGCCACTGCATAGAACACATTGGATCTTAAACTTAAAAAGACTTCACTTTTATCTTTATTGGACACATTTCCCAAGTTTTGCACCCTAATCACCACCATTGAAACCCTAAAAAAGATCATGAAATAGCATAGACTAGCTACCTATCGACAGCAATTATTGTTTTTAAATGTAAGAAACAGGAAAATCTGTGTTGTGCATGCATGGCAACACGTATTTAGAGACAAAAAGAAGGCTCAAAGCAAAACAAAAAGATAAAAAGCAATCCCAAAAGGCCATGGTAAGATCGTGCAACTGAGCAGGTTCTGTCAAAAGACCATGCAGATTTAATAGGATTAAAGAAGGTAAAGAATAGGCCTCTGAAACATATTATGGTGCGTTTATTTGTTGTTGATCTGAGAAGGAAAAAAGGTAACACCTTTGGGTGAAACCCCAAAAACAGAAACTCTCAGTGGTCCATTGCTACCTCCTGACAAAGGGCTCGATCAAAGTGTTAGTAGTGATAGTCGAAACTCAGACGGTACTGACTACTGAGCCTGAGAAGGACTCACTCTCAGTCCCTCTTCTGTAAGAGTGTAGTGTTTGTGTGTGTGTGTGAGAGAGAGAGAGAGAGAGAGAGAGAGAGAGGCCGCGGTATCTATGCAAGTGCATAGCTAATGAACAGTTGAATCTGAAACTGTACTGTCCACATGCCTGCCGGTCTACTGTTATCTGCAATGACTGAGTTTTCTTGACCACCCACTTTCTAAAGGGTCTCTCTCTTTCCTCTCTCTCTGTGAAGTATTTCTATCATAAAGGACTAAAGCGACTTTAATCAGTAATCGAACTGGCACTTAGAAAATTAATGCATTAGAACAATGGCTTTCATTCAACTGTTTGTCTTCTTCCTCTCTCACTCTTTCTGTCTCTCTTTCTCTCTCGCACACCACAAAGAGACAAAAAGCCAGTAACCAATCTTAGTTGCTTAATCTTCCAGAAAAGAAAAAAAACCCTAGCTAATGCATCAAAACATTACAGAACCTGAACTCCATTTCTATGCTCTTCGCCATCATCATCTTCTTCAACCTCATACAGGTCCTCACTGTGTGGTGCATGGCCATCTCCAAAAGCGCGAACATGATCTTTGAGGGATCTCTTATGCTTAAAGTCAGAACCACAGATACAAAACCAGAGCTTCCCACAATTCTTCTCGTGAGTCCTCCAATCTCCTCGAACTGCAAAAGGCTTCCCACATTTTCGACACCCAAATGGCTTCGCTCCATGCTTTCTTTTGTAATGTGTCTGAAGTGTCCTAAAGTCCTTCAATGGCTTTGATCTGGGATGGTCTATGTTGTTTTTGCAGCCTTCAGCACAGCAATAACAAGGCAGTCTCAGCATGGACGAAGATGGTTTTGTTCCTCTTAGTGAGTCTGGACCTTTCCTATACTGTGATCCGTGTCCCCACATATGCATCTGGTAAACACGAGAGAGAGAGAGAGAGAATAAACCAAAAACTATAAGCAAATATAAGAATTTCATGGCAAAAGTATCAAATTATCAATGTAATACCCCGATCACTTTTCTAATTGTTTTGGGTATTCGTATAATCATATTACGGCAGAGCACCCAACTATGGCAACAAGACATACTAAAGGGTTAGGTTAGTCGATCTCGTCCGAGACCTTTCAATAGAGCAAAAACTAAGTACTGATCAACTAGAAATAGGCCCTATTTACTACAATTAAATTCACACTGCTTAAATTTAAAAATCTCACTTGGCTCCTTGCTTATATTCATCTAGAAAAATACTATAGCGAAGAGAAGAATGGAAAAAGAGAAGAAAATAAGTGAGAAGAATAATGATATCAACATGAGCACAAGTAGAATAATGTATACGCACATGCAATATTGGAGTTAATTTTAATGCGTATTTGTATTATAAATGGTTTCTAATATAAACAATTATAGAATTATAGTCAAAATTATCCAGAAAGATTAAGTTATGATCGATGAACATGACTATTACCTAATTAAGCACATAAAGAAGAAACATTTATGTAATCCTAGATTGATCAATTTGTTGCATAGTGATAAAACCTGCATGTTGTTGTATCGATTGAATGTTTTGTTGCAGACTGCACAAGAGAACTGCGTTGGGCCGACAAGAATTTGAGCTGGCGTAGGAATCCAATACTGTCTTTCGGCATAACCGCCATTGTCGTTAGGGTTGCTAGAGCTGGCTCCTGGAGTTGGTGGACCAATATGAAGTGCAATAGTTACACCATCTAGTAATGTAGAGTTTTGATGGTTCTGAGGCTGATTAGAGGGGTATTGAAGAGAGTTGGGGTGTTTTGTTGTGTGTTGTTGACCTGGAGGGCCAAGAGAAAGTAGAATGGAGTCCTGATCTTCTTCATCAGCCTCCAAGCAAGCACTCTCGCCCGAGGATATGTATGTGAAAGAATGAGTGTGCATGGTGATACTTATACTTTTGAGAGAGAGAGAGAGAGAGAGATTGGGGAGGAGGGTTTTGGTGGAGAAGGTATATGGGGAAGAGAAACGGAATAAATAAAGAAATGTTATGAGCTGATGGGATTTAGATATGTGGGTTTGGAATGTGGATTTTCAATTGGATATTGTGTGTGTGTGAGAGAGAGAGAGAGAGAGGGAGGGAGGGAGAGAGAGAGAGTTTGATTGGGGGGTGTTTGTGTGTGAGCACGAATGTGGAGTGAAAAGAAATTCATATATCGGGTTTGAATAATGTTACATAAAAAATTGACTTAATTTATTGGATGTGTTAAATAAAGTTCAAAAATTATCGTTATAACAATAATATTATAATTATTATGCTGATAAATAAAATTAATTTTTTAAAATTTCAATAATATTACTCTTTAAATTTTTGCGCGGAGAGAAGGGATCGGCAAAGAAGGAGAGCTGAGGGAGAAAATGCATAGAAAGGTCCACCAACACTATCTCACTTGACTGACTAAAAAAAAAAAACACTATCTCACTTGTCCCCACAATGCTCATTTCCCGACTAACCTCTTCTACTACTTTTCTGTCTCTCTTTCTCTCTCTCTATATATATATAAGTATATAGGTATGTATCAAACTGAGGATGATAGAGATGTATGTAGACACTGGACATGGAGAAAACTGTGGAATGTAAGGGCGTGAGTGTCTCTCTCTCTCTTCCACTTTTGTTATTAAAGGAGTTTGTGATAGAGATGTGCAGCAATATATATAGAGAGATGGAGGATGTTACACTGCAGAGTGAAAACCGAGAAGTCATCTCCATCACATACACCAAAATATACATCAAAAACAAACAAACAGAAGCCCTTTAATTTACCCGCATGATAGCCAATTCACCAAAACGTCACACTTTGATTTGACGGCTTTGCAAGGCTTCACATAGTACTTCATGTGTCATCAAAATAGCCCAGCAATCAAAAAACTATTTGGTCCACAATACAGTGTGACAATGGGACCATATGGTACTAAGTAAACTTTCTAAAGTTTCAAACTGCAAGTGTTTGTTCTGTATCATCCTTCAGCTCACTGTATATATGGTTCAAAGTTCAAACTGTACAAGAGAAAGTGAGAGAAAAATGAGATGATTCTAAGCAAAAAAAAAAAAATGGTTCAAATTTAATGCATGAATAGTCCGATTATGATTAGACGGTATTGTACCTCTACTTTTCAAGCAAAATTAAGGATATTGACACACATAAAAAAATTTATTTTTTTATTTTTTTATTTAATTAATAGAAATCATTCAATTCAAAATAAATGAATAGAGATAAATTTTAATCCATATGCTATCCTTGAAGGACACATGCAATAAATGAGTCCCAACTATACCCAAATTGGTGGGCATCTTTCTGAAAGAACATAGCCTAAAGACCTTAATGAGTTGTTTCTAATCATTCCATCAGTGTGCTTCCTTTCATTCATTAACAAAAAGGGAGTGAATATGAGCAGGAAGAAAAAAAAAAAGGGTTTCTGCCCATTAAAATGCTAATAGGGTTTTAGATGGTTTAAACTAGGCTCAGCAATCGTATCAGGTGAAGCGAGTTCATTTCAAATTTTAAAAGATTCGTGTCAAAAAATATTCTATTCATATCCGATTTATTTATTAATTCATGTCTGACAAGTATCATATCGAATTTGTGTATAACCGGTATATAAATAAGTCGTGTCGTGTATTTTTTTTAATTAATTTCTCTCATACCCGATTCGTTTTATTAATCGTATCGCGTTAAGTCTACTCGATTATGAAATGGATTATTCAAAAAAGACCCAAACCCGTTAATCTCGTATTCTTGTCTTCACTATTTTCTGGTTCTTTTAATTTAATCACATTACTGGCCAAAAAAAAAAGGAATTTTAGTCACATGGTGTACCACACATTTTTTCACAGACGGATGAAAATAAGTTCAGGATAGCAGATATGTAAGAGCAACTCCAACGCTCTCAACAAATGTCATCTTTTAGTTATTTTGGTGAGTCAATCCAAAAAATTCCTCTCCAACCGGCTCTCTATTTCACTGGCTAATCTGCCTCCCCCATTCTTACTCATCAGTTATGGCTAGCAAAACTCTTTCTCATCAGAGTTCTCTCCCCCCAATTTTGGGTATTGTTGTTTATACATCATGTGGGTGTTCTAATTTTTAGAATTTCTGATCTAAGTTTGCTCTATTTTTTCTTGTTTTGCTGCCTATAAAATTTGTACAAATTGGTGTTCCAATTTTCAGACCTTCTGTGTTTGTTTGGTTGGTTGATTCCTCTGGATTTTAAAAGATGATAAATGAATTAAGTTTGTAAAAATTCGATCTTACTTATTTGCCTTTTTGCGAAGATGTTTTGATTTTAAAGAGTGATCTCATAGTCATAACATGCTGCTACTCTTTGTAATTAATGAAACATTGAGTAAGCTTGATTGGGTTAAAATTATGTGATTGAATAAGGGTATTGCATTATATTATTGAAAATTAGTTAAAATTAGTTGAAGTAGTTAGTTAAAATAGAGAGATTGGTTAGAATGAATTTTAAAAAGTAGATAGATAAAGTAGAGAATACAATATTTAAATATATTTTGAAGAACTATTTTATTGAGCGTGGTTGGAGATGCTCTAAGTATATCCATAGGAAATTCTAGGTCGAGTACCATTTGAACAATACATGTTTGTTTCATATCATCCAAAGGGCATCCATGGGGTCACCTTTGGCCATAACAATGGCTAGTGTAAGCCCTACATTATCTAGAATATAGCTACTCTTTACTCTACTAGAGTAAAGAGTAGCATTATTCACTGTGATATTTGGATTGACTGTAAACCCCATCAAACATTGAAACTTAGTGCTGATCTAATGATTTTTATGCAGCTACATCATTATATCAGCAAAATAAGTCATAGTTCTAGATCTAAATAGCATTATTCCTAGTGAAAACCATATTTAGGGAGGCAGAGTTGGAGTTAAGTACACTGTCATGCTGAAAAATTTTAAAGCACAAGTTTGCAACTTCATTTTTAGTAAGAGACTGAAAAGAGTTTCATGCCTATTTTCATCATTTTTTTCATGGTGAAAGATTGACAAGAATGAGGAATGGGCATACGTTAGATCGATAAGCAAAGGAAAAACAACTGTTAGAAAAAATGGGATGCGAAAGATAAAGTGAACGGCAGGGTGAGGTACAGACTAAGTCGGCCTTTTGGTTTTCAGGACCTGAAATTTTAATATAAGAAAGTAACAGTGTGTTTTGCAGACTTTAGAAATTTATATTTCCTCCGCTTGTTAGTTAAAATACTCTAACAACAACCACCACTTGGTTTTGACACTCAAGTGACCCGTCTTGCTAAACAATGCAAAAGTTAGATTTCACCACCTCTATCTATCCAACTAATCGTATTTGATCTAAAGAATCTAACTTGAAAACTTGATCTTCCCCAGAAAACCCTCTATCTCCAAGCCCCTTTACTAGGGTGGGCAAACTTTGATGCCCCTACTCCCAACAAGTTGCTGGTCGGGATCATGAAATTATCTTTTCTTGTCAATTTACCAAACAGTTGTGGGTGTCACGTGCACAGTTAAATTAGACGTAAATTGTAATAATTTTATACTAGTCCAAAAATATAATACGGTTTAAGTAATCATATTTAAACAAGATTTATTCCTTAAGATTTGGTCTAATATAACTCATTACCCAAACAAAGGTAATAGGTAAGATTTAATATGCCAATGCCATTTACCTTTGATCTAAACATTTTTGTTCCCACTTCTGTTTTTCTTCAACTTCTTAACCCCCTCCACCCCATAGGAACGCAATTCAAAGAGATAAAGTGAAGGAGTCAAACAGACTACAAGGATACTGTAGTACACGTATGCGTTTGATTTCAGATTTTGGTATAAATGCAACACCCAAGTTATAAAGGAAAAAGTAAAATTAAAGGTGTCTAGTTCTTGCAACTTGTATGGAAAAGGAAACTTAGGAAAGGCGACAGTGGGATATGAGACCTCAAGCAACCTGTTGATCTGCTAGATAACAAGTGCCAGAGAAATCATCACTCATGCTTGAAGTTTCACCCCCTTCCCACATCAAATTTTGAAAGTAAATGACCTTTAATGACAGAGAAAATCTCTTGTATGGATTTGGTACAATACCAATAAACTAATAATCAATCTATAACTCAATAAAATTCAAAAATTTGAATTAATCCTAAGAAACTCGAGGTCAACCCAAAATTTGAATCGGTTTTAAGTTGGCCACGTTAGTAATTTAGCATGTTTGAGGTATGACCTCACATGATTGAATTGTAACTTTTAGTTTCAGAAGAAGTCTCCCGACGAAATTATGTTTTTAATTATTTTCCATTTTTACTTATATTATTGGGATGACAATGGTAAAGTCTTTTCGGATTATTGACCTTTCTTGCAATAACTATAGTTTTATTTATTTGAAGTAGCATACTATGACCCAAATACCATATGAGACTCAAATCACTGTAACATAATTGATTAATGTTTCGTTTGGTAGGAGAGATGAAAAATTAGAAGGATTGAAAAATGTAAAGAATAGATTTTTCATCCTTTGAAGAAAAAAAAATATTTTCCGTCCTTTGTGTTTGCTACGATAATGAAAATTTAAAAGAATTAATTTTCTATTGTTTGATATTAGAGGAAAAGTGGAAGAAAAAAAAAGATATAAATACTTCATTTACCATTTTACTTGTACATATAAAAATATTTTTTTATTATAAATAAATTTTTCAAGTTTCAATGTCGCACTAATTAGTATAAAAATAAATAAATATCGATATGTAGATCAAATATAATTACCAAAAAACATGCATAGAAAAAATATATGTAATAAGATATTGAAAAGTGTTTCTTGAGGAATGTGCAGATTTTAATTTGGAATTAGGAAATAATGTTTAGAAGTATATTTAAGGGCAAAAAAAATAAGTTGT